TTTTGAGGATTAGAACACGACTTAAAGGTCACAAGAGTCAATTTTGCGTAATGTGGAACCTTTAAATCATGGTAATTTCTTTTCTATTCCCATGTGGCTTTATATCTGTGTGATCCCTCAATGGTCCAGGTCCAAACCAGGTCCAAACCAGGTCCAAACCAGGTCCAAACCAGGTCTAAACCAGGTCCAAACCAGGTATAAACCAAGTCTAAACCAAGTCTAAACCAGGTCTAAACCAGGTCTAAACCAGGTCTAAACTAAGTCCAAACCAGGTCCTAAACCAGGTCTAAACCAGGTCCAAACCAGGTCTAAACCAGGTCCAAAAACCAGGTATAAACCAAGTCTAAATCAAGTCTAAACCAAGTCTAAACCAAGTCTAAACCAAGTCTAAACCAAGTCTAAACCAGGTCTAAACTAAGTCCAAACCAGGTCTAAACCCAGGTCTAACCCAGGTCTAAACCAGGTCTAAACCAGGTCCAAACTAAGTCTAAAACTGGTCTAAACCAAGTCTAAACCAGGTCTAAACCAAGTCTAAACCAGGTCTAACCCAGGTCTAAACCAAGTCTAAACCAGGTCTAAACCAAGTCTAAACCAGGTCCAAACTAAGTCGAAAACTGGTCTAAACCAAGTCTAAACCAAGTCTAAACCAAGTCTAAACCAAGTCTAAACCAAGTCTAAACCAAGTCTAAACCAAGTCTAAACACTAAACCAGGTCTAAACTAAGTCTAAACCCAAGTCTAAAACAAAGTCTAAACCAAGTCTAAACCAGGTCTAAACTAAGTCTAAACCAGGTCTAAACTCAGTCCAAACCAGGTCCATGGGTTTATACTAGTCTCTGTGCTCTTAAACTTGTTCTGATCCAGCTCCAGATCGTTCCAAACACATTCAGGAAAGCTTCATTTCTGTCTTGTCATTGGGACTTGGGCTTCTCCATTATGTAAAAAAAATAAAATAAAAAATCATTATCACCATTATTCAACCTATTATTTTTTTGCTACACGATGCATTTATTCAGCAGTTCTTCTTCAAAAAAGATGCTCTGTAATTGATAATTTGCGCAAAACTTTAAAAATTAAAATAAATATAGGCTACAAATCTGTACCTTAGAGCAGTTTTGCGATGCATAAAACATAAAATTAATCAAATATACTTAGAAAAACATAAATAATACTACAAATCCAACTATACATCCAACTGTTCCACAATCTCTATATTGAAAAAAACTCAATAAATATACTCATTTATATAAAAAATTTCGCAAAACAAAAGCATTTCAACTAATTATATGAGTTTCGCAATTAAAATTCAATGAATTGCACAGCTTTAATATCAAACATTTAGGTTTTTAAAGATGAGTCTACGCCCCATGGGAATAAAAAAAAGAAAATACTACCGTTTAAAGTGGAAAAATCACGTTCTACTGTCCAAATAAAGAGTGTTTTTTTTGTTAGTAATATCAAGCCTGCTCCTGAGTATCGAAATGGAGTTTGAGATCTCCGTATCGTGACCGCGCTCTGACCAAAAAGCCCGGAGAGTTTGACAACAGCAGAGGAGAGGTGTCACAGATCATAACAGCACACAGGAGTGGACAGGCGTCTCCTCTGCAGGCTCCGAGTCTGAGCCCAGTCCTCCAGCTTCAAGAGAAATCGTTTTTTGATGGAAGGAGGTGGGTGGTACGGGCTGTCAAAACAAACCGGGGCCGAACCGTAGAGCAACAGCACCATCAAGTGGACGCCGGGGGAATGACATGTAGATTATAGGTTCAAAATGACAAGTTTTTTTCGTGTTTGTTTAATTATTTTGACTAGATTTAATGGGATCGTACCTGTAGTCAATATTTATTATAGTTTTACATCATTTAAAGGTCCTACGTTACACAAAATTGACTCGTGTGAGGTTTAAAATCATGTTCTAGTGTCGTTACCTCCTCAAAACCAGACCTGGACTTGTGTTTTTTTGTTTCATTCACACAACTCCGGGTCTGTTTGTGATGAAGAAACCACATTATATCATACAGTAGATCAGAAAATAGTGTAATATGAGCCCTTTAAGAGACAAGTTTGTGGAGAAAAGTTGAGAAGAAACGAAAGAGACTGAGGAAGTGTGTAACGAAAACATTCTGGGGCTGTTCAAGTCCGACACTGAAGATGGCAACTTCAGCGGTTTGAGTGAACAGGAGGAAGATGAAGACAGCGATCGGAGACTTTTCTGGTGGGCAGTGTCGGGGAGAAACAGATTACATGTACTGGAGTTACGTAATCAGAGTACAAATTATGAGTAATTGTATTCAGTTACAGTTACTGTTTCAGTGAGTGGTAATTAGATTACAGTTACTTTGTTGAAATAAATGGATTACACTGCAGTATTTTCCTGTTTTCACTTTTTGGGCTTTTTTTTTTCCCCCCAGGTAATTCCACTCATTACCGGAAACTAAACCAGGTCTACACTAGATCTTAACCAGGTCTAAACCAGGACTAAACCAGGACTACACTAGATCTTAACCAGGTCTAAACCAGGACTAAACCAGGTCTAAACCAGGACTAAACCAGGTCTAAACCGGGACTAAAACCAGGTCTACACTAGATCTTAACCAGGACTAAACCAGGTCTAAACCAGGTCTAAACCAGGTCTAAACCAGGTCTAAAACCAGGATTAAACCAAGTCTAAACCAGGACTAAACCAGGACTACAACCAGGTCTAAACTAGATCTTTACCAGGTCTAAACCAGGTCTAAACCAGGACTAAACCAGGACTAACAGAAGGCCTAAACTAGATATAAACTAGATCTGAACCAGGACTAAAAACTAGATCTAATCTAGTTCTAATCCAGGTCTAAACCAGGTCTAAAACCAGGTCAAAGGTCTAAACCAGGACTAAACAGGTCTAAACTAGATCTTAACCAGGTCTAAACCAGGACTAAAACCAGGTCTACACTAGATCTTAACCAGGTCTAAACCAGGACTAAACCAGGTCTAAACCAGGACTAAACCAGGTCTAAACCGGGACTAAAACCAGGTCTACACTAGATCTTAACCAGGACTAAACCAGGTCTAAACCAGGTCTAAACCAGGTCTAAAACCAGGTCTAAACCAGGATTAAACCAAGTCTAAACCAGGACTAAACCAGGACTACAACCAGGTCTAAACTAGATCTTTACCAGGTCTAAACCAGGACTAAACCAGGTCTAAACCAGGACTAAACCAGGACTAACAGAAGGCCTAAACTAGATATAAACTAGATCTAAACCAGGACTAAAAACTAGATCTAATCTAGATCTAATCCAGGTCTAAACCAGGTCTAAACTAAACAGGACTCATCCAGGACTAAACAAGGACTAAAACAGGACTAAACGATGCTGCATGGACGTGTCTCCTCTTATTCTATCAATAATATTTTTGATTTGGTTCAGTAAAGTCTGGGCTTTTCATTTTCTTTTATCAGACAAAACATCTTAGTGAAGGTTTCCTCGTCTTTGTTTCTCTACATCAAATCAAATAATCCAAAATATTCAGATTACGTTACTCACTTTAAATAATTTAATGGATTCCGTTACAAACTACATTTTGGGGTATGTAATCTGTAATCTGTAGGGGATTACATTTTAAAAGTAAACTTCCCAACACTGCTGGTGGGTGAAGTGAAGTGAGGAGATTTCATGAATTAATGACTTTGTTTTTCTCCTGCACGTCAACCACAAACAATCACAGTTCTGTGAGACTGAGTTCACCTTTAAAGTTTAAACTTTAAACTGTATTTCCACACGTCCAGAGGCAACAGGCTGGTCGTTTTACTGTAGGCACCGTTTGAAAAAAAACATGTACCAGTATTTATGTTACTTAAAAATAAAAATAAAGGTGGTATAACTTGGTCTGGTTTGGTCTCTGTGAAGAAAGAAAGGTTTAATGCCATACTGTGGAACATAGTTGAGTCCTGGTTTGAGTCCTGGTTTAGCCCTGGTTTATTCTAGTCCTGGTCCAGTCCTGGTTTAGTCCTGGTTTAGCCTAGTCCTGGTTCCTGGTCCAGTCCTGGTCCAGTCCTGGTCCTGGTTAGAGTCCTGAAGTCCTGGTCCAGTCCTGTCCTGGTCCCTAGTGGTCCAGTCCTGGTCCAGTCCTGGTTCAGTACTGGTTCGGTCTGGATTTAGTCCGGGTTTGATCCTTGTTTATTCCCATTTTAGTCCTGTTTAAAAATGTTTAAATCCTGTTTCAGTCCTCCTGGTTTAGACCTTTTTTGACCTTGGTTTAGTCCTGGTTTAGTCCTTTTTTTAAACCTGGATTTTGGTTCAAAATTGCCTAGAAAAACAGGAGTTTGACTGAGTGGGGTCGCCTCTCCACAGATCTGACCTGTAACTTGGTCTGGCTTGGTCTACATGAAGATAGAAAGGTTTAATGCCATACTGTGGCTTTGGTGTTTCGTCTTGGTTTAGTCTTGGTTAAGTCTTGGTTTAGTCTTGGTTAAGTCTTGGTTTCGTCTTGGTTTCGTCTTGGTTTCGTCTTGGTTTCGTCTTGGTTTCGTCTTGGTTAAGTCTTGGTTAAGTCTTGGTTTCGTCTTGGTTTGGTCCTTATTTTGACCTGGTTTAGTCCTGGTTTAGTCCTTGTTCAGTCTTCTTTTAGTCCTGTGAAAAATTCCATACAAGGCAACAACATCTCCAAGGAGAAAAGCGTTTGACGGACCCTCCACTATTAGTGTAATTATGACTATTATGTAATTTAGACATGTTTTGGTCCTTGTTAACATTGTGCCTGCTGGGTGTTTTGAGTTTGTTATAGTTTTGACTTTTAAATAACCATATGGAAAAGTCAACATCTAAAAATACCAACTCAGAAATGCTCCAAAAAACGCTTCCTGTGTCTTCAAATCCATGCTCAGTGATCATTAGGGCTGTAATTATTCACTGGAACAGCGTCAAAAATCAGATTCTAAATTGGTACTAAAACTGAAATGGAAACTAGATCCTCGTTTTGCAGGTATTGATACTAAAAAAGAAGTTTTGACTTTCTTACCGGGAAGAAATCTGACAAAACGTGGCATGAAGTGGAAGCGCTGGCACTGGGGCGTCTCATTCTCCTCGTCTGGACCTGAGGGAATAACAACAACATTTAGGTAGGGAATTTTAGATTTAAATATCAAACCAAAAAAAAAATTCCATAAAGAGAAATTGATGTAAACCAGGTCTAAACCAGAACTATACCTTTATACAGGTAAAGGTAGATTTGGGTCCAGACAAGTGGTAACGGAGGGAAACAGGGGCAGATTTTTGACATTCAAATGTCTCTTATTCAGAAACTAGAGGAACTATTGAAATAAGTAAAGTATCAGAATGTAGGAAAGAGTTACACTCCAACAGGGTCAAGTTAAACCTGTGAGATTCTTTCAAGTTGTTGACAAAAATTTTTAAAACTCATGTCAGTAACAGAGGGAATGAAATATGCAGCACTTTTTGGGCAATTAATCCAAACAGTGATAACTCTTGGTTCTCACTTACATATCCTTAACAAACTGGTTTGAATATTTGCTTCATATAGTTTTCTACCATATGGTACAAGATTAGGTTGAAAAACCTCTTACTTTTTGACTCATGAGATTTTTTATTAAGAAAGGTCATGGTAACGGAGGGAAAAGTAACGGAGGGAAAATTGTACAAACAAGTAGAAGGTGCAGGATTTTACATCATTTGTCAGTTTTTTCTTCTGAAAACTTTAATATTACTTCAAAATGAAAGAAATTATTTCTATAAAATATGTCAGTCCTTCCAAGCAAATTTTTATCATTTTAAATACTTTTTTTTTTTTATCCTGTACCTTCTTCATCAACAGTTCAAAGATGGAATAACACAAGATATGATGAAATACATCCATTTATTTACATGATTTTTTTGGGTCTTTGAAATTTGGAAAATAATTTTTGTTCCATGTTTCATACATGGTTTGTTTAAAACGTATGGAACTTTAGAACCAAAAATGGTCCAGAAAAAAGGTCAACAGTTTCATAAACTAGAGTACATATGTATCTGTTCAATACATTTTTATTTCAGATGCATTAACTTGAATTTTTGGCCTTGTTGTTTACTTCTGTTTGATCGAGCCCATTTGCAAACCTCACTAATGTTACTAATTATGTCTTTGCAATGTGTTAATTATTATGTTGTTGTTGTTGTTGTTTTTTTCATTTTTAATCATTAACCTAGACTTGTTGTTATCTTAGTTAAGTTCAGTAATGTTATTTTGTGTTTTTGTTTTGTACCTGTGAGGTTCCAGTCGTACAGCTCCAGAATGTCCTGGAACAGATACGAGGAAAACAGCTCCAGACCCCGGACGCAGTAATTCTGAGGAGACAGACAGAGGAGCAAGGACAACGAAGAGGATTTAAGATAATTATATTTTTACAGTGCAACATTGAAGACGGGCGATTGTGTCACATGGGGCAGGTAATGTTTGGCAAATATTACTTCTTTAAAAGGTTGTATAGAGGATTTTTTAAGGGAAGTGAAACACAGCGACAGTCCTTTTTCAAATGTTGTGCATCTTCCTCCACAGCCTCAGTAGAAACACCTCCTCCCGCCTCTTTACTCCAGAAATCACGCTTGTTTACATCCAGAGCGTGTTCAGAATTACCGCTGAAGTGACCTGTCTAGAAATATTTTAGCGACCGATGCGTCAGTCTTTAGACCCTTCGTCTGCTTGAGTCGCGCCATCGCTGGAAGAGATCTCCAAGAATCACCTCAGTTTATCTTTGCTCCTTTTCTCTTCTTCTTTCAGCGACCTCAAAAACGGACTTTCTTTTGCGGCGAACTGGTCGTGGATTCTCGTCCGCCATCGCAACAAACTCTGTGCGAATTGCGAGGACCTGACAGTTTGAAAAAGCCTCTAAGAACCGATGTGTGTGACTGCAAACCTCCGTTCAAACTGTTTCTCTTCCCAACGGAATTGAAAAATAGTGAAAGGTGAAGGTGATGGGCAGGATTGATCCACAGGAAGGACCAAAAAGGAAACATTTGACTGTCTAAGAAATCATCCCGAGTTTGCAGTGAACATTTTGTATGTGGAGCGACAACAAAGCAAAATCCCGATCCCTTGCTCAACCTCGGTTACGAATTTAAAAAGTCAACGCCAAAGCGAACAGAAGTTTGCAGTCACACACATCTGATTCCCTTTTGGATTTATGGAGTTCACAAACTTCCGAAGCCCATTTCTCGAGCCGTTTTCTGCTATTAGTATCCAACAACCACACAATTACGATGTCCGAATCCCAAAACTAAAATATGACAATATCAGAACCAGAAACAAAAGCGACATGGTTCAAAAGACTTGAAAAGATCGACTTTGTCAACAGACACATCCCACTGGGAAAACAAACAGAGGTTTGATGCTCACTTTTTCGGAAAATCCTTCCCAGTATGCAATGCGTGATGACCGGAAGTCCGAAATTCGTGATGCATGTACTAATCATTGCATTTATACAGCCTTTCAAGACCTCTAAAGCACTTTAAAGATCATTATTCAGCCTGTTGTCCTCTGTTCTATTGTTTTTACTATAACTTCCCTTTCGAGATGAAATGTCAGTTCCTGTTCTCTGATTTCACAACATAAATTTCCCCCCAAAAGCGCGACTTAATCTACACTCAGACTGCAGGGCTTAACGCTCAATTCAGATTTTTTTGTGAAATCTGATGTTTTTGCGAAGTCGTTCACATTTCCAGTTAAATGTGACTTGTATGTGACTCCAGTGTGAACATTAAACGGTCCAAAAGTGTCCCACATGTGACACTGGAGACACGACGACGTCAACCGCAGCGAGCGTCTCTGTGTTTACAGAAGTTGTCCAAACATGGACGCAGCATCGAGCACCTGGAGATTTTAAAGTTCCTCTCGTACCGGAGCCACAACATGAACAACTTACTTGTTTTAAGGAGGAGATTGAGAAGGAGAAGGACGAGGTTTTTGGTCGTGGTGTTTTGTGGGACAGAACGTTGAAAGGAACGTGTGGATGTGGAGACGGAGCCAAGAGTGGTGAGTGGAGATGTGCTTCACTTCAGTGACACGGAGTTTCAGTTTTTGCCGACTTCAGTGCAGAATAGTGACGTTTGTGTCTTGTTGATAACGTGTAGGTGGATGAATGCACTTTGACCGTTCAGACTGAAGTCACATGTCAAAAGATCAGATATGTATCAGTTTCAGGAGCACAGATCCAAGTGTCCTGGGTCACATTTGAAAAAAATCAGATCTGTGTCGTTCAAACTGTCAATACAAGATCAGATACAGGAACATAGGGGTTAAAAAATCTGATTTGGGAACCTCAGGCTGCAGTCTGAACTAGGGATGGGCAATAGATGAAATTTTCTTAATCAATCGTCGGAAGAATTAACGATCGATTATCGATTAATTATTAACGTTTTTATATTAAAATGATCATCATTATTATTTCTATCTGCACTACTAATCTGCATAAATAAATTCAACTTTACGACATATAAACCGTAACGACTCTAGAGCCACATCAGCTGTTTGACATTATAATGTGTTTAATTCAGTTTTGCGCAACTCTCACAGAAACTTAAATTTACTTAAAACTTAAAACTAATTTGCATAAACTCAGTGAAGATAAAACTCCAGCTCTTGTGTCGCTGATGTGGTTCAACTTCTGTCGGATTAAAAGACATGACTCAGGTGAATACAGGTTAGTGTGACCAGATTTGCGTTTGTCAAAACCAGGACAGCGTACGGGGGGAGGGGGGCGGGGCCTCGTCATCCACATTGAGCGACTCTCACCTGGTAAAACTTTTTTCCACTGGACACAGAAACATCTGTGCTGCTTTATACACTGTGCACATGGACTCACACTTGTCCCAACGCAACGGAAAGCGTGAAATTTCTTGTACAAATCTTCGTTAAATACACATTTGTGCTTCGGTTCGTTACAGACTGACCCACTGTTTGTGTCTCGCTCCTTCTGATGCAGAGACACATGTACACACCTGTTTGGTCACACTACACACAGCAACCTACATTCGGTCTGTCGATTAAAATGAACATAATCGATGAAATTCTTAAAGATCAATTATCGATTAATCGACTAATCATGCCCATCCCTAGTCTGAACGCAGCCATACATGTTTTTCTTCTTCTTCATTACACATTTTTTGGCTGGTGCGACATATTCTGGAGCCACTTCTAGTTCGAAAAGTACGGTAAATGCTTTTATTGGAGGAAACACGTCTTTAACATTTCGAAATCTGTGTAATTAAACTCGTCTCGAAAGGAACAAAGTGTGGTTTAATGTGAAGCCAGGTGCAGGTGAGCGGTGTAACTGTCACACTGGAGAACGTTCGCTGAAGGTTCGGAGCAGTCGTGAGTAAAAACTGGAACACATTGTTAAGTGTTTGTTGACATTTGTTGGTATTACATTTCAGTCTCATATTTATCAGGGAGCCATTAGCGGCGTGCATCTGTGCGCCGCTCCCAGTTGTAACAGTCGAGTCGCTGAACATCTGCGTCAAAATGAAATAATTAACAAGCCCCATTAACGAACGTTTGTGAGCTCAAACAAGGCATTCAGCGCCATTAACGCTATGAAAAATAATGCGGTTTATTTAAGTGGAGCGCGACATAAAGACGGAGTGTTATCTGATTTTATACATTCAAAGTCAAGCCCAGTTTCAATTGGCATCCTCTTTAAACGTTATAAATTACACAAAATTGACTCTTGTGAGATTTAAAACAAGTTATAATGTTGTTTTCTCATCACAAACAAACCTGGAGTTGGAAATTTCTCCGATCTGGTCAAGATTTTACAACTTATATCAGGTTTTTCGTCTTGTTTTCAGATGTATTATCGACTTACTAGCTCTGAAATGGTTGTATAATCTTAAAAATTGTCACATATTTTTCTTCCATGAATCTTAAATTAGACAATAAATGTTTAAAAGAAGCGACAATCCATTTACCAGAGTTTTCCTCGGTAACACTTCACTTGTTTTTAGATTCAGTGACGCACATTTGCTCGATAAAAGACTGACTATTAAATACTTTCATGTAAGACAGATTTCAAGTACTTATATCTAGAATTTAGCATTTCTGAATTTATTATCAGGACATTTAAATTCATCATAAACCTGTTTTAAATTTGTTTATCCAGAATTTTGCTAAATTTAAAGCATTTTATTGAAAATTTGGTGTCTAAGAACTTATTATCAGGCCATGAACACTGATCATAAACTGTTTTTAAGTCTGTTTATCTCAAACTTATCCTCCATAAACTTATTTCCAGCCCATGAACACTCACCACAGACGCTTCATTCTAGTCTAGAGGTCGTTTATTTTAAGATAACTTGTCAAGTAAAATGATCTTGCTGCATGGACTGATCTTTCCACTACTTTAATGTCATTTTCTGATAGATTTAAGTGTATACATGTTCAATTTTGGCCAAGCTTTTTTGCGGTGTAATCCTTTATTATTAGTCTGTCTACATCTTCAAAGCTCAAAATGCTCTGTTCCACCTTGTGATGTCATGAAGAGGTAGTTTTTGTTGGCTTCTGGGATGAAATTACCCAAGAGCTCAGCCTAAATGTGCAGGGTTTGTGTGATAAACGTGTGAATGAAACAAAAAAACACAACTCCAGGTCTGTTTATGATAAGAAAACTATATTATAACATACAGTAGATTATTATATATTATAAGTGTAATATGGGCCCTTTAAATTCCTCTCTGTTTTTTTAAAAGTGCATTTCAGCGTTGAAATTGGAACCGAAACCCCAAATTATAAACAGAAACAACTTAACCATCACATCTGATGTTTTTGTGATGAAGAATAAATCCGCATTAGAATAGTTTTCAGTAAACGTTATGAGTTAAAAGTGTTCAAATCAAACATATCAGTCAGATTTATGAAATTTAAAACCAAAATCTTACATTCATTTCCTTTAAAACCAGGGGTGAGCAATTATTTTTTTCAAACGAGAAACAGAAAATATTGTGTAGGGACTTAATTCTGCATGATACGAATTGTATTTCTTTATAAAAAGCAGTAAATATCATTGTTTTGACGAGCTGCTCAGACTGGGAAGAGTTTATGTTCTGACTAAACAATGGAAAAGTGAGGCTGCCGAACAAAAGATGTAATTTAAACAACACTTCTAAAATAAAATAATGCAGCTTTAGTTCATGCATGAGGTAAAATGATAAAACATGTTTATTTTCTAATTCCAAATTAGCTTAAACGGGCCAATCAGAGTCAATCAAAGGGCCGGGGAACTGTACAATGCCCAGGTTTGATTTAAATTATCCAAATATCTAAATCATTCATCTTGTATTTATTCAATTACAGGTATTTACTTGTGAGTGGGCTTGCCTCTCCACAGATCTGCCCTGTAACTCCATTGTAGCTCCAATTACGCCACCGGCTCAGCTCAGCGGCCGTGTCTAATCTCCCTCCTTGAATATAAAAGTCCAATCTCGAGATCTGCTCAGAAGTTGTCTCTGTGTAGATGCGGGCGATAAGTAAATCCCGCTGTAGCTCCGTCTCCTCAGTCTGCGTGTTATCGACGCGCTGGGCCAGAACCGGAGTCTAAACCCTCTTTCTTCAGCTTCTCGGGAAAGATTAGCACTTAGTTTGGCGGCGCGCACTTAAGTTTGGCGGCGCGCGGAGGTCCAGAGGTTACAGTGGCTCAGCTGTGGAGCGCCGGATAAAAACTAAAAGGTGACGAGGAGAGGAGCAGCGTTTCACAGAGAGAGAAAGAAACTGAAGACAAGTTATGAAGAGGTGGGCAGTACTTGAGTAACTTTTGGATAAAATTGTACTTCTCGGAGTAATATTCAGACCCTATAGATGCATCACGAATTTCGGACTTCCGGTCATCATGCAATGCAAACTGGGAGGGATTTTCTGAAAAAGTGAGCATCAAACCTCCATGTTTAATTTCTTAGTGGGATGCGTCGAACTTTTCAAGTCTTTTGAACCATATCACTTTTGTTTCTGGTTCTGATATTGTCATATTTTAGTTTTGGGATTCAGACATCGTAATTGTGTGGTTGTTGGATGTTCTAACAGCGGAAAATGACTCGAGAAATGGGCTTTGGAAGTATGTGAACTCCATAATTGCAAAAGTGAATCAGATGTGTGTGACTCAAACCTCTGTTCAAACTGTTTCTCTTCCCAACGGAATTGAAAAATAGTGAAAGGTGAAGGTGATGGGCAGGATTGATCCACAGGAAGAACCAAAAATGAAACCTTTGACTGACTAAGAAATCATCCCGAGTTTGCAGAGAACATTTTGTATGTGGAGCCCAGATAATCCACAGAGGGAGTTACCGTATTTTCCAGAGTATAAGTTGCTCAGGAATATAAGTCGGACCAGTCAAAAAATGCACAATGAAGAAGAAAAAAACATATATAAGTCGCACCGCACTATAAGTCGCACTTTTTGGGGAAATGTATTTTGTAAAATCAAGGACCAGGAACCGGCATTTCATCTTGAAAGGCAAGTTACAGTAATAACAAAAGAATATGTTAACTGTTAATATTTTTTATGTAACATATGAACAGTTATTTAGATAATTAGAGCATAAACAACAGAACATAAGTTTAAGTTTACCAAGCTCACGATCTCACTCCAAATCACTAAATCCTTTGAATTGTTCATCCTCAGTGTCACTTCTGAGCGACCGCCGGAGATAAACCATAAATCCGTGATGCAAACAGGCCTTTCTAAATCCCGACAGGATGGTTTCGGTGTCGCTGAAGTCCAGGCTTTGTACATCCATCCAGTGACTTCAGGAAAGTTTCATGATGCACCTGTTCAGTTACCGTGAAGTGTTTTCATCCCCACTTTTCGCCATTCAATCACACGTTTCTCGCTCACTCCAAACCTTCTTTCTGCAGCTCGATTACCGTTTTTGGCTGAATATCTCACTATTTGCAGCGAGACAGCGGCTTTTTCTACAGGAGGCATATGCAGTAGAATGTGAAGTGACAGCTAGGGGTGTGCAAAAATATCGGAATATTGCTATATCGCATCGTTTAATGTGACGATACAGTATCGATATTGTGGGCTGCTGTATCGATATATCACCAAGAGTATTTTTAGGTATGTTTTACAAAATTATTCTGTTACAGTGCTACAGTTTTGTTGCTTGTTGCGTGAAAGGAAGCTCATTTATGCAACACAATTGACATTTTGACACAGTTTTGATGATTAAAATGTTTGTGTTTCATATGAACTTTGCACAAGAAGTGGTTTAACAAAGACTTTTAGTATCAAAGCCACAATTTTGCTTTTATTTTTTATTGAACCGTATCGAATCAATTTGAAATATATCGTATCGATTCGAAAGTGCACTGTATCGAGATATGTATCGTATCGTGGCCTGTGCATCGAGGTATGTATCGTATCGGCAATTTCTTAATGATACCCAGCCCTAGTGACAGCGGTTCAGGAGTAATAGATACTGACACACGAGCCTCTCGCAGCTGTCGGTCTGAAAATTTTAATATACAAGTCGCAGGAAACATCCAAACCATGAAAAAAAAGTGCGACTTATAGTCCGAAAAATACGGTAATAGACCATAAATTGGGCTTTAATGAACTACTGAGCAAAGCAAACATTATGGTCCTAAAGATGTCTCGCATTCACACTACACAAATCTGTCTACATGTTAATATCCACATCATGAGATCAATTTTTTATTTTAATTGTAGTCAGTCTGAGAGAACAAGATACTTTTGTTTGATTCACGACCATAGAGTTAGTTTTGCTCAGTCGTTCACTAATGCGTCGTCGTCGTTGTTCTCCTTTAAGTTTTCGTCTTTTTTACCTTGATAGTTGTGGATAAATTCTTCTTGTCGGTGGTTTGGTTGTGAGGCAGATTTATGAAGCTGCCGGAGAATACACCAGACATTTCCACGGACAATTTGCCACAGAAAATCATTAACCGTAAGTTCTGCGATCGCTCCGTCCGTTGTGAAAAAGGCCTATTATTTTACCCGTGATAACCGTGACACCACATTTCCCCTTTAGCCCGAGTGTTTGCCCGTATCCCCGTGTGTCCCACTGACCTCTGGAGCCATCTCCTCGATGAAGTGGATGGTGTAGTCGATGTTGAAGCGGATGACTCGACACAGTGGGATCTGCGGAGGACCAGACTCATTAGTGCCGTGTGCACATTTTCAGGAAACTCATTAAAAAGAGCTTTGGAGTTACACAGGTATTTATAGAAACAAGAGACGAAGACACCAGGAAATCATCAAGGACACGTGTTTGAGAGAGTGTGTGTGTGTGTGTGCGTGTGTGTGTACTTGAGTGTGTAAAAGGCCAGGTAGGATTTCTAATCTATAGGACAAAAATAACTACACAAACAAAAGGAGAGGGATTCTGTAAAGGTGTTACACAATTCACTTCTCAATATGATTTAGTAAAAGAAAACTCAGATTAATAGTGTCATAATAATGTTCCTGCAGTGTAGTACAGCATTCAAACAGTATAAATCAGGGTGCTCAATACGTCGATCGCGATCTACCAGTCGATCGCCAAGGTCGTGTGGGTAGATCGTCGTGTCTCGTCTCGGACTCGATCGCGTTTGGACTCGGTCTTGTCTCTCACTCGAGGTCTGACACTCAACAAGTGTGATCATATTTCATTGCGGCCGCTGCTGTTGGTAATAAACTTGTAGCGGGTGCAGGAGCGTGTGGCGGCGTCTCAGTGCAGCCTGTGCGCTCATTTGAAAACCCGCGGAGACTCTACGGCGCATCACAAACACACGCTCCCTATGCACAGCTCGTCCGCGACAGCGTGTGCCCTCGTGTACCAGCGTGCATCACAGGGCAGGTTCAACTTCCTAAACATCCTACCTGTCCATCTGCCTCACGTCAGCACGCCGCCCCTCGCCTTTTCACGCTCTCGCTCCTTCCTGCGTACAGCGAACACAAGCCCCTCCCACAGTGCGCTGATTAGAAGAGCAAGACCAAACGTGAAGCAAAAACCAGTCTAAATTTATGTTCCAGTGTTGGCACAAAGCAGGTCTACAGCATAGAGCGGATCTACAGAACAGACCTACTGCCACATTTGGCTGAAGTTTGTCTAACAAAAGTGACAAATGCATCTGTGTTTGTCACGATGTGCGTTTGGTTTGGTAAACGTGCAGAGGCTGGTAAACTTTGGAACTTTAAAAAACAGGTTTAAAAATCTTCCTTCACTTTTTTCATAGTTTTGTGTAAAGTGCCAGAGGAAGTTCTCTTAAAGAAGGGGTTCTCAAACTGTGGGGGAAGGTCCAAAAAGGGGGCATAGAGTGTTTCAGTGCAGTTTGTTTGGCTTTGTATGAGGTAGATCATTTTGACTTGGTCATTTTGTAAGTAGCTCACATGATGAAAAAGTGTGAACACCTCTGATCTAAATGGTTTAATTTAGTAATTAATTTGCCATATCATCTTGTCAAAGCCTGATCCTGTCAGATCTCGGCAGGACCAGGATTTGGATGGGAGACACTGGGAAAATCAGGTGCCATGAGGGGGCGGCAGGGGCAAAACATTTCACCCACATTGCCTAGTGTGAAAGTGGTGTGTGTGTGTGTGTGTGCAATGATAGTGGTGGTCGGAGCTTGGTAGCCTCACTTCCGTCAGTCTGTCCTAGGGCAGCTGTGGCTACAATAGTATGTAGTGTAGAGTGAAGTGAAGTGAATGAATAATGAACTGTGAAGTGCTATTAGTGTCTTGAAAGGCCCCTTATAAATGAAATGATTAAATAAATTAAAATAAAATACAGCCTTAATGATATTTTTATTGTGGCAGTTTTACTAAGTAAGCAAGTTCTTATTTACCGTATTTTCCGGGTTATTAGTCGCTCTGGATTATAAGACGCACTGTCATTAAATGGTCTATTTTCGAACTTTTTTTCACAAATAAACCTCGTGGGACTTTAAATGAAACCCAACAGTGTGATGGGTGAGTGGTTTTGTTTGTTTGTTTGTTCACGGTGACTCTGGGCTTTGTTCAGTTGTGGCGTGTAGGGAGGGTGTGTCTGGGACCATTTGTCGGCGTGTTCGCAGTGACTCAGTTGTTCAGTCGTGTCTAGAAGCGGCACGTCGCGCTCGCTTTTTCGGTTCGTTCCTCCGTTCCGTTCCTCGTCGGTGTGGAGTGATGAGTGTGTCTGTGGGTGTGTTTCGCTGTGCGGTCGCTGTCTGCTCCGTGTGTTTGTGTGTTCTGCAGGTGCTGCGGCTTTGTAGTTTACTGAAGTCGTACTGGGACACCCGAGTGGATTCGTGTATGGGGCGCTCTGGATTGTGGCGTGCGGTCGTTTTTTGATGCGGTTAGAGGCTTAAAGGTTGTATGGAGGATTTTTTTTTTCAAGTTGTCAATGATAGCATTATAGAGGTGCAGTAGCCTTGTAATTATGATGACCAAAAAAAAGAGAATAAAAATTCATCAACTCTGGACGTGGTGGGGCTAAACATTTGCCAATAATAACGACACTGCCTCGTTATCTGTGAGCTGACAGGCTGTCAATCAAACTCCCTACGTTTCTAGTGTAACTGACTTGCCTGCGTCGCCGGTACGTGGTTTACATACGACTGTCACACAGTCCACAGACGCAAGACGCACAGACGCTGTTTACTCCACCAACGCAACAGTTCTTAGCGGCTTTTTTTGACCTATATCTTCCTCGCAGTTCGCACAAAGTTTGTTGCGATGGCGACAAGAATCCAGGAGCAGTTCGCCGCAAAAGAAAGTCCGTTTTTGAGGTCGATGAAAGAAGAAGACAAGGGGAAAAGCAGCGAAGCCAAACTAAGGTGATTCTTATAGATTCATTCCAGCGATGGCGCGACTGAAGCAGACGAAGGGTCTAAAGACTGACGCACTGGTCCACAAATTACTCCTGGACAGGAAACTTCTGCTTATTATGAAAACGTACTTTATTTCCAAGAGCTACACAAACGTTTTTCAGGACACGAAAGTGATATCCTATGTCTGAAAAACGTCATTTTCAAGGCAAAGAAAGAGTCCACTTGCTGCTGCGTGTTGTAGTTAGTTCATTCGCACGGAATCTCCGCGCAACCTTCTCTGCTCCCCTTTCCTGCTCCTGTCCCCGCTGCCGATCCGCTCTTCCCCCTGCTCCTCACTTCTCCGGGCACGGAATCTCCGCACACCGCTCCCTCTCCTCTCCCCTCTCCTCTCTCCTTCCTCTCTCCCTGCTCCGCTCTTCTCCCTGCTCTCACTTCTCGTCCGCGAACGAAATGTCCGCGCCCCCTCCCCGCTCCTCACTTCTCGTCTTGTCTAACCAACACTGTAGTTAGTTGTTACAAGTCATGTGCAGCACCGGCTGTAAACAAACCTGTTTCTGGCGTAAAGAGGAGGAGGGAGGAGGTGTTTCTACGTAGGAGCTGTAGGGGGGGGAGGTGGTTTCACGCATGTGCAACATTTTGAAAAAGGACAAACAGTCGCTGGATTTCTCGTTCCTTGGAAAATCCTCTATACAACCTTAAGAGTGCGTCTAATAGCCCGGAAAATACGGTATACGGCACTTCTCACAGACATATGTCACAAAGACAGTGAGGCGCCAGACACAAAAATTGTCGTTGTGTCCTTAGGCAAGACACTTCACCCACATTGCCCAGTATGAAAGAGGTGTGTGTGTGAGTGATGGTGGTGGTCAGAGGGACATTTGGTGCCGATTGGCATGGCAGCCGCGCTTCGGTCAGTTTGCCCCAGGGCAGCTGTGGCTACAATATTAGTTTACCACCACCGGGCCTCGAGTGAATAAAATAATGATCTGTAAAGTGTCTTTGTGACAAATGTCTGAGAAAAAGCATTATATAAAAAATAAATAAATAAACAAACAAATAAAAAAAGATGCTTCACAGATCATTATTCATTCTCTCCAGACTCTGCGGTGTAAACTCCTATTGTAGCCACAGCTGCCCTGGGGCAAACTGACTGAAGCGACGGCTGCCAATTGGCGTCATCGGCCCCTGTGACCACCAACACACACACACACACACACACACACACACACACACACACACACACATACACACACAGCACTTTCACACTAGGTAATGCGGGTGAAATATTTTTGCCACTGGCGCCCCCCTGTGGCTCCTGATTTCCCCAAAGGTCTCCCATCCAAGTCCTGACCAGACTCGTTCCTGCTTTGACAAACGGGTCTGGCCACACCACATGACAAAAAAAAAAAAAAAAAAAAAAAAAAAGGTCCTATATTACACAAATGTTGCCTCTTGTGAGCTTTAAATCATGTTATAATGTTGTTCCCTCCTCAAAAACAGACCTGCAGTTGTGTTTTGTTTCATTCGCACGTGTTTGTGTAACTCTTTATTATTAGTCTGTCTACGTTCCACCTTGTGATGTCACGAAGTGGTAGTTTTCAAGTGAACAGCTCCTTCTTTTTTTTTTTTTTTTACCTTTAGTTCCGTAGAGATCGGCAAATCCAGGTCTGAAATCATCCAAATGATTTTTATGAATATGTGTGGCATTTAAAAACACAGTGGAGCACTTTCTGTATCACCACATGACATCACAAGGTGGAACAGAGTGAGGCTGTGTAATTGATCGAATTTTGATCGCGATTTCAATTTGTGTGTCAAACAATCACCAAACTCAAATAATCAAGTTGATATGATTTAGCTTAACAAAGTTTATTTTGGGATTTTTTTTTAATATAAATAAGTTTATTTATTTTATTTTTTAAACAGAGAGATTGTAGAAATGTTGGATATTTAGTTTATTTTGGATATATTTTTGTTTTTGTATGCCTTATTTCGTGCTCAAGTTTCAAGTATATTACATCGCAAAACTGCTCTAAGGTTCACATTTGTAGCCTGAATTTATTTTGGGTAAATTATCATTAATAAAGTGCTTTTTTTTGTTTTTTTTAAGAGATAAATGCTTATCGTTAACACTACTGATACTGATACTATACTATACTGATACTACTGATACTAATACTACTACTACTACTACTGCTGATACTACTACTACTGATACTACTACTACTACTATTACTGATACTACTGATACTACTACTACTATTACTATACTACTACTACTACTATGACTACTACTACTACTATTACTGATACTACTGATACTGATACTACTGATACTACTACTATGACTTC